GAAACGGAAAGAGGGAGTGAGAGAGACGGAGAAACAAGAGCGGTAAAAATGAATCGATAGGCGGAGTTTTTCACGACGCGCCGCTAGAGGCGCTCCAGGTGGGGGAGCGCAATAGGCGGAGTCAGGCTGATTTAGGGCCGCCATTTTGTGACAATGGACGAGAGGGGGTATGCCTATCTGATTGGCTGATCTACGGACTTCTCTCGTCCTGGACAAGCTTCTACAGATTGTTCGGTTGTACACACCGCCGGGTACTCCAGCCACCCGGCAACCCGGCAACGCCGCCACCCCACACTACCGCTTCTCTCTACCCCACCGTCGACGACGTTGCTCCCTATCCCCTTCTCCATCGCTGCTGCTGCTGTATCATCGCTGCACGTATACACTCGCGTATGTATGTGATGCGCACGAGCGCGCGTATAGCAGAGGAATCCTCGCGAAAAATTGCAAACGTTTCGTACACGACTCGCGCGCGCGCGCGCGCTCATGCTTTTATCTGCCATCGCGAAACGTTGATTGCGATATTTTGCTTCCGCTTAATCGAAGGTGCTTTTCTCTCGTACCTCCCGGACGAACGTCGTCCGAGACGGACGGTATCGCGCGATCTCCTTTAAGATTTTTAATTCGGCAAAAAAACATAGAGAGCGAGAGAAGATTTTCGATTATGCAACAGATCCTCCCACTCTCGATGGTAGATTGATTAGATCCACTGGTTGGCGCAACACAATCACCGAGATCTACGTGGGCTCTTGCCTCACGATTGCACGCTTGTTTCGAAAAGTTGTGCGCCGCTTTGTCGATTGCAACGCATTTCCTGGAACCGTTACAACTTGAGCATCATTGCTCGAGAAACTGACTGGACTCGGAGAGCATTACATACTCACTCTGTTTATATCATATTACATTTTTATCAATCTTACATAGAAATCTTGTATAGAATCTTGTATAATTTTGACGCAAATATCTTTTGTCAGTTACATACCCTATACATTTTACTTGAGATTTGTTCTAAGAAGTGAGTAAATTCTTCGTATAGTCCACTTATTCTTCGCGAGTTTTATCGAATTAATGAAAGAATCAAGAAATTGATATTTATTCGTTACATTGTTGCGACCAGACTTTATCTCGAGTCATCCAATCCAGCGTTGAGAATCTAGATTCTTCGACAACAATAATCGCGAGAGCCTGCTGAGAATTCTCAAACGACGTGTATTATAATCACCATGTATCTGTGACGTATCATCTCAAAAGAACTCGGAACCACATACACAAACACGCTTACCGTATCTCCAGAGTAGATGCGATGTAAACGACAAGATTGGCGTCATCCGGCGGCAATTAGCGCAGTGGAAGCCAGAAGTGCGAGACAGAAAGTCTCTCGCGGTGCTATCGGATCGCACGACCTGGGGCAACCTGTAACACGGTAGATTATCGTCGTCGTCGTCGCGCATCTCGCTCGGATTTCAGAGGGCTTCGAATTTCGGAGGGCGTGTGTATATCTTAATCGCGGTATCTCATCTAGATATATCGCGCGCGCGCGCCGGCATCAAGATCGGCGGCCCGCGAGTATATACACATGCGAAGCGTATGCGTGTGTGTATATATATTATATGTATATAGATATATATATATTGTGTGTGCGTGTGCACATATCTAGCCGGTAATCTACGCGCGCGGGACACGTGGCTCGCGCGCGCGCGAGCTCCGGGCTCCCGTTTTCCCCGATCCGATCTAAATTCGGATCGGTCGATCGCGCGTGATAGGTGCCGTCTCTTTTTCGTCGCGGGAACCCACCGGCCCCGCGCCGATCCGACGGAATTATTCAACACCTCGTCCGGGCTCGTGCTGCGATCTAGATAACCGCGATCTCCTTTTCCGTCGTGAAGTGCGTAAACGAGCCGCGCTCGCAATATGTAATGCAACGTAATTTGATCCCTCGCGGGAGCGAGAGTCGTTACTTCGGAGAAATATTATTCGAGACACATTCGCAGATTTGGGACATTGGGAGAAATATAGAGTAAAACGAGACACGCGTATAAAAGAAACGCGTATCCTATATCCCTCTCTTTTGTTTGTATTATATTAATTTCTTATATATTAATTTTTATTTAACAAAAATGTAACTCTAATTTGAATTATAAAAAAAAGAAGGAACATTCGAAAATATTCATATGAAATTATCGAGCGTATTTTGTCTCGTAACGAGGGGATATGGCCAATTTGGAAGATTTTGCAAAGTTGCATACGAGAGAAAGAGAGCGAAGTATCAAGAATCATCCGCGATAATTTCATTCGTCGTTGCGCCACGATGATACGTTAGATTTTCGATTGGCCAGAGCTTTGATAAATTGCCGACATAAATAGCAACGCTCTCGCGCTGTGCGATATATTCAAAGTAGGCTATAGAAATGTATCGTGCGTGTGCGTCCTGATGGAACGATTTGGCACCGTTGAGCCGCGGTATCTGCCAATCGGTGAGGACTGCATTAAATCCGCCTGGGAACATTGAATTTTCCGCTCGCGCACGACGTCCCGTTGCGGGGCATTCTGAAACGCGTTTCGATATTATTGCCGGCTAGGGACCGTTCGTTTCCTGCTTCTCAAGAAGACATATTCAACTGTGGCGCGCGCGTATTTTCTTTATAAATGCACTTATATTTAAACGTACAATTTATAAATTGACTAGTAGCTGAATATATAGTACGTACGATTTGTGTACTCGTTTGTCCCCCGGGGGGAAGGCACACTCGAAAAGTATACCGGCGTGTCGTAGACCGATAGTTTAACCTCTCGGTAAACCGGTACGGACAAGATAAATGACCGAACGCGGTCCCGATGCTCGAAACGAATTACGCCTAAGCTAAACGGGTGCCGCCTACTTCATGAATATTCAGCCGGCCAATAGAAACCCGTTTCACGACGTTTTAAAAATTTCAATTCAACTTCATCAATCGTTCGTCTCGCGTCATCCTCGAGACGCATACACACACGATCGTTCTCGAGAAAGACCGCGTTAATAGATTCGTTACCGTTATTACGCTGGTAATTTTACGTAAAGCGCACCTTTACCGTGTCATTCTCTCTCGCTTTTTCTCATCATCGGCGTTGACACAGCGGCGGCAATAACATCGTCGACGGAGGAACAATTCAGCCACGGGGCAACGGTATACGCATCGGTCGAGGGGGGAAACTCACTCCTCGCATCGGGACGGTAGTATGTAGTAGGGAGAAGACTGCTACGCCCGCTGGTAGGTTGGGCCGCCGTCAGGGGGCGTCGCCGCTGCCGGCCGAGCGGCGCCGAACTACGCCGAGCGGCGGCGGAAACGGCCGAGCGCGCGTGAACGTGGGGGCTCGTGCGGCGCGGTGTTTTCATGCGCTTAGTTTCGCGCCGGTTGCCACGACAGTCGCATTGACTCGGGTTCGCGCGCGTGCGTGCGTGAGTTTTTCGAAAAAAAAAAAAAAAAGAAAAGAGAGCGAGGACAAGGAAAAAGAAGAATCCACGCGGCTGCGTTTGTTCTCGAGCGTGACGAGAGAGAGAGAGAGATAGACGCGAAGAAAAGTTACGGACTGTACGTGCGCGTACTTCATGGCGGAAGACGGAGCGACGGATGCAACGAGTTCGCGCGCAAAGTTGCACTTTGCAAAGTGAAAGAGAGACGTCGTGTTTCGCGCGTAATCTTCGTTTCTCGATACTCGGTGAACGAACGGGACGAGAGAGAGAGAGAAAGAAGAAGCGGGGAAAGACGGGGAAGTCAGTCGAATCGAGCCGCGCCCGCCACGGGGCTGAAACTCCACAAACGCTACAATGTGCTGTGTGTGTGATGTACGGTGCAGTGTGTTGGTGCTAACTTAGTGATAACGACGATATATATATATATATATATATATACATATATATATATGTATATATATATCCCCTCCTCCGCCGCAACCGGCGTGTAACGTACAAACTAGTCGCCGTATTATCTCGCCCGCCGGGATTGCCGCCGGAAAGATAAGGTAATGACAGACAAAATCGACATTTTTTTTAACCGCCGTAACTTATTTCGCGAAAGGGGTTTAGGGGGCGCCGCTGCTTTTCCTTCTATCGAACCCACTCCCGCTTTTCCGGTGCCAAAAACATCGATTCGATAAAAAGCAAGTAAATCGATAGAGCACGTAAATCAGATTAATTGTGACGAGTATTTGGAAAGAGATCTCCGTGAATGTCAAACTCCGCAAAGACAGCATAATCTTAAAAACTTCGTCGTAATTGAAATATCACGGAAAGAAAATCAAAGAGTAACAGTGTTAATGTAATTTTTTGTCTCGAATCTTCTTTATCGAGTTCTTTAAATAGGTTCTTATTTACAATGGATTAGAGATTATCGGAATCGTGATCGCGTTGGCGAGACTTTTGTCTAATCGAGAGACGCCGCGTTTCTATCGATATTTATCATTAACGATAACTAATCGTCGCGTTTTCGTTATCCATCCTCGCGTTTATTCGCTCTGATTTTACCTGGTTGATAATAACAACAATACAATAACAAAAACTGTCGAGCCTCGTCATAACCAAAATAAGAGTCATAGATTGCGTATATATACTGGTTGTTTTTTTTTTCGGCTACGTAATAAGATAGAAAAGAAGCCGTTTTAATCGTAATCGGGTTCTTCCTTATTTAACCTACCTTCCCGAAAATGTTGGATATTACAATCAATCGAATCGCGTATGGCTTATTACTTTGTGTCGCCTACGTTGTCCTTTCCGGGCTTAAAAATCTTTTACGGACGGTTATACAATTCTCTTGTTTCACGAGACAAGACGAGACGAGACGAGACGACGAGCGGCGCCGAGCCGAATTGAGAGCGCGTTGAGCGAAATATAACCGGATAGTCAGAGGGATTCCGACGGCGCAGGTAAACCGGTCAGCGGCCTAGGATAATGCGAGAGCTGTCTGCGAACGGGGAGACCCTTTTTCTACGCCCTGTCACAGGAGGATACCTAACCTATAACGCGACGCGACATTTTACGCTCGAAAAGTGTCGTTAAATTCGGCCCATCACGATTTTTCCCCTCCCCCGCTTTCCAATTTTGAGAATTCACACACTCGAGTCATTTACGATGGAAGCTGCTCTCTCGACATAACTCTCGTCCACCTATAAATGTGAGATATCGTGAATCTGGAATTTTATTCTTGTTCGTGAAATTGTTTATGTATAAGACTGATTATATGATTTAATGTTGTTAGAAGTTTTTTGCGAAATATTGGTAAATACAAGAAAAAAGTAGACGCGTGCGAGGCGGGTGTAACGTGTTTAACATCGTTTTGCGTGCTGTCTCATATATTTATCTATTAGACGCGAGAAGGAGATGACGATGCGTCAATATTTCATCTTTTGCTATCACCGAGAGCGAAGAGACACGTGATATGTCTCGATCCTCTCGAGACTACGTATTTTTCCGAATTAAAATTTTATTCCTATTTCCATCCTCAATGTTCTCGTGTTTATGTATTTTAAAGGATTTCGTTTAAAAGTTTAATTTATACAGAATTTACAGCAATAAACGAACAGTTTTTTACTTGAAGCTTTAAAGAGGAACTTTTGGTAAAATCATAGATTAAATAGTTTTAAAAAAGAATTCTCTAACCGTGTTTAAAATATTAAAGGAGGAAAAGATTGAAAAATTTCCGTTTGAGAAATCCAGCTTCAATTTCGAGCGTCACATCGGATGTCAATCGATGCTTTCGATCTTCGAAAATCATGTTTCTTCTCTCTTCTTTTTTTTCTCCAGCTAAAGGAGAATATCGCGTTACCGCTTATCGGCGGCTCTCGATTGTTTCACTCTCGATCCGTCGGTTCCTCGACCGAGGCGAGACTCGCGCTCTTTCCGAGCTTGCACTTGCGTTGAGACGACGATGACGTTTCCTGGTGCTCGTGACAGTGCGTGCCACGGGCCGATGATTCCATTCTTCGCCCCCCGATATATTCGTTCACTCATTTTGGGTTTTTATCGCGTTTCGTCGCCGTTAGAAACCATGTTTTGCGGTGAATCCGACTCGTACGGATCGGACCCTTGGAAACGTCAACGCCAGTAAAGTGTCGATGAAACGCGTCGAGGATCGTGAAACATGTTGCAATGATGTTTAATGTGGCAATATCGAGGATATTCAATTATCACATGGAAAGCTTTTTTCGAATTTTTGAGCGGCAAACGCTGACAGCTGTTTATACTTCTCATGTTGAAATACGACGCATTCCACTTGACGAATCATTTCAATCTGAGAATAAAGATTTCTTTATCGATAATTATTACTTAATTGAATATTTTGCGAGACTGATACAACGTCTTTCTACGCGTTGAAAGTGGAGAGTAAATGAAATGCGAGGTATATTCAAATGTGGAATATTCGCCCTTGTACTTTCAAGTTACAAGGCCAGATCTGATCTAGTTCAACTAGTTGTTCTAATCCTAGGACATTGGAACGTGCCGCGATCAAATAAAGAGACACTATCCTCGATTCTATTAGAATGACATAGATGAAATAGAATTCCGTTATTGTCGTTCGATCAAGTTCTCGACCGTTAATTTCGATGTCGCGTATGTATGTTTCGAGCATATAGGTGTTGGTCGACACGGCCGCGGGCGCTTTTTGAGATTAACGAATTTCGATAAGATTAGCCGTATGATACGTGATCGGGAAACGCGCGCCGATGGAGTTTCGTCGAGAGTGGACACGGTGATGTAACACGGAGTCTAGAGATAAGATTCAACGCGACAGCCTTAATACAATTAGCGTTTCTCGAGTTAGAGACGAGATCACAGTTCTGACAAATTACAATCAAATTCTTAAAAAAAAACCACGCGAATATCGAATCACATCTGTTACAGTTCAATAATATCGAGTGCGTGATTTATATACAGAGTAGGTTTTTTTCGATAGTTTGAAAAAAAATGAGCGATTTTTGCCTGCTGTGTTAATCTTTCGCGTAATTAACAATTGTCATCGCGACGATCGACAGATCGCGTTATCACGAGGAAAGTCCAGCGAAAACTCGTTATGTCAAAGTACCGATGAGATCATCTTTATCGCAATAAACAAATATTTAAGCATATATATATACAATATATATACGAAAATTATATATACTTATATCGACTGTAGTTATTTATTTGACGGTTCAACGGACGCGTTCCAATTTCCTCGAACCTGTTCTCGTCATGGTCATCGTACGTAATATTCGCGATATACGACGATAAATTGATCTAGGAAGCACGACCGCTTATCGCGGTTTGCGCGTAGAAAATTCCCCGTCTTTTTTTTTTTTTTTTTTTTTTTTTTTTTTTTTTTTTTTTTTTTTTTTTTTTTTTTTCTTTGGATCGTCCTTCGTTCTCTCACACGCATCGAATGTCGTAATATTTCGCTCTCGGTTAAAGTCTACGATTTATTTTCGTGTTTGGCTGCTTATCTAGCCCAGGGTTAATCGTTATCGCGATTATCAGATCGATGAGATCGGACTCGCACGATCTGTGTGAGTGATTTGTCGAAAGTGCATATCGGTCAAGAGTCTGATTTCGATTATCTCGAGACAAGAGGAAGTGGGAATATGTGTGTGTGCGCCTTAGATTAGGATATTTTCTTTGCGCTCTATTTTTTTCGACGAGATCAGACTAGGCAATTTTGTTTACCTGTCACAGAAAAGGAAAAGAGATCGCGGAGAACAACGTGAAAAATCGGCAAGAAACAAAGTGATTGTAAAGTACTTTCCATCTTTCCGTTCCTCTTTTCGAGAAAACGAGTATTAGTGAATATTTAAAAAACTGCGAGAATATATATCTTCGCGGTAGTAAATATTTCGAGCATATTAATGGTTCAAACGACCGCTATATGGACGCGATAAAGTGAATGTATGTGCGTGCGCGCGGCTCGCGTGATTTATATTGCCGAAAAAAATATTATTCCGATCGTGAGATATCTCTGTGAAAAGTAATCGCGAGCTCGTCTTGTGCGATCGTGTCGAGCGATACCGTTTGATTGATCTGTCCAAATTTAGTTATATCTATGATCGATCGTTTCGATATTTTCGACGATAACCGCCCAAGTTGGGCGACAATCTGCGACGTCAATATCTTTCGATGAGCTTAATTAATGAACTATTTGATGGGTTTAATTAATATACTATATCTATTATCTATATATCATTCTGATTGACTTTACTGATTAAATTTACACAATTTGTAAGAAATACTCAAATATTTTAAATAGAAATATCGTAGGAGATAGCTAATATCAAAAATTTACATGTTATAATTAATCGTTGATTAATATTGTATATATATTGTCTCTCTGATGTAAGTAATATATTTGCGTAAGAACTTATTGTATAATACATTAATAATAACGATAGGAAAATCTCGATTGCTTGGCAATCAAAATTAATCGGATATGCGTGTCACATTCCGTGCGGTATCAATCTTATCGATGTACGCTTTTTCGTGTGTATCTTATCTCGCATTGTTTTCGAGTGCTTTATTTGCTCTGGCCGAGTAATTTTTGCGTTAGCGCGAAGTATGAGGAAAAGAAAGAGAGAAAGATTGAGGAAAAATGTAATGTTAGAATTTATATGCGCGGAAACGATACATACTCCACTTAAAGGAAAATAGGTGTTGTGATCTCAATACATCAAAAGATTTAACGCTTACTTTTGCGACTTGGATTGAAAATGAAATCCGTTAACCGACTTCGAGAACCGGTTCTTCGAAAAAGATATTTTTTCCTCTACCGCGCAAGCTCTCGTTTTTTTGGTTCCCGCGATAACAAAAATCGCCGTCGTCTACAAAATCTTACGGCCTCCCAGAAAGAACAGAAGGAGATGGTTATCTAATATTTCCGAAAATTCCGCGCGTCTCTCGATAAGACTTCTATCGTTTCTCTCTCTCTCTCTCTCTCAGTGTCTCTTTTTCTCTCGCGCTTCTCTATCTGGATTGGACCGACCTGTCCCGGTTGCGTCATCGATGACCTTGATCGCCTACACAAGCTGATTGATAAATCATTTCGAGCACTTGATCGTCGATCGAGCGATACTCAGTATGTTCGCACTGAAGCGCTGATCAGGACCTAATTACCGTAGAATCTCGTTGATCGATTATCAGATTTCGACGCGTTGCGCCTTAAGTCTTCCATTGCGGTAAGTCTGTTGTCTTTGTGTCTCTTTTCCGGTTTTATCGGACCTCGGTTCTTTTCTCGGGAGTGCTGTGTGTGCCTTGATTGGAAAAGCCGTTCGTGTCTATAAAAGTGGACTTGAAAGATTTTACGCGTCAGAAATAATTTAATATCAGAAAATATATCGGCGTTCTGCCCGTCAAATCAAAGTGATAAAATATGCTCGATTATATACCTGGTATATAAATTGAATCTAAAAGGCTCTTTCATGTCAGATATCCTGAATATCGAGGAAACGTGAATTACAGCGAAGTACGGTCGGAAAGAAACACACATATATTATATCGCGTATCGCGATGACAGGATCGCGAATCCAGAATCCCTGAGAGCCGCCGACGTGCAATGGTTTGATCGAAGCGACGTAGATCGAGATGCAGCCGGCAATTGTTGCATTTTCATTTCGTTAATTAACGCAGTGCAGATTTTTTCGGATTGGACGCCGCTGACGTCTTATTAAACCGTCTCGATCGGCGTATCTATGTCTTTGCTTCCCCCCTCTCCCTTCTCCTTCTTTCTCGAGTGATACAATTAAAGCACCACGCCATGTAAATCGCGAAATTATTCATCGCTAATAAAATTGCGGGGAGGGAAATTTTCGCACCGTTATCGCGTTCGTCTAAAACGCTCCAATTAACTTTCTCATTTCTCATTTAACTTTCTCATCTGCATATAATGTAACGTTGCCTCTAACTCGATGGATCTAAATCGATCGAATTGTTACTCTTCGAAGATCAAAATAATTTTGCATTTGCGGGTTTCTTATTTTTTTCAAATTTTACTAATTGTCTTAGACTGTTATTACCGAAGAAACAAAGCGACGATTGTCATATGGAGAAAGGTTCGAGCTAACCCGTGCTATTCGACGTGTTTTGCAGGACGGAGACCGGCAAGGAAATTCCTTTAAGGATCCTCTTAGCAAATCAGACCAGGATTACCTATGATCCCGCTGGGCATCGCGAGGACGACGGAAAAGGCAGAGAGGCGCTTTTGGCAGCGTTCCTAATCTTCCTGCCTGGCCTGCCTCCCGTTTTCTTCTCTCTTTCTCTCTCTCTCTTTATTCCGTTTTCCACCCCTTCTTCCTCCTCCATCTCCACCTGGCGTTCCTCTTTGCCGAGAGGTCGTGGACGCATCGAGACCTCACGTCGGATCACACTATGGACATGAGCAGCGAGTCGAGCACCGCTAGATGGTACGAGCCGCCTAGGTCGTCGCTGGAGCCGCCTTCGGGGGGCGCCGGGGTAGCCGGGGTGGTCGGCAACCCCGGCGACTACAGGGGTTACTACCCCCACGCCGGACCGACGGCGCATCACCCCGCGGCCCACTACGCCCACAGTAAGTATACACGTTTTCTTCCATCTTTTCTTTTTTTTAAACCACCCTTGACGTTTCTTCTCTCTCTCTCTCTCTCTCTCTCTCTCTCTGCGTATTTTTCCTTCCTGAGAATCTCGCGTCGCGACGGTTCAACGACCGAGCGCTACCCCGGACGTTTTTTTTGAAAAGTCGATGTCAGGAGAAACGAATGCGCTTTTTATTCTTTTTCGCGCGGCTATGAGGAGGATAATATGTATAATCTTGGAACTAATTTATTATAATTTCTTATCGATCAAAGTCCGCCTTAGTGATTCCGACGCGCCGGAATCTCGAGAAGCTCTCGATTAGAATTTCAGTCGCCTCGGAGGATTCGCGCTTTCTTGCCGATTGAAATATCGCGAATATCGATACAGATATGGAAAAAAAAAACAATGTCGTAAATATATTACTATTGGAATACGTTGATTCTGTGAAAGGACGATTAAACCTCGAGCCCTTATAACAAGGACACCCGTTATACGCAGTGTCGCGTTTTTCTTTCGCGTGTTTGACGATGCGGTTCAACGACCGTCGAACAGTCACCTCTCCGCGAGAATGAGACGTAGCACTCCTCATTAATTAGAAATTCTATATTTAATTAACGAGGCGTCTCCGAGGTTATCAGCGCCATCGGATGTCTCCCTTGATGCATCGCCATTTTGCTCATCCTTTCGCCCCGCAGCTAGAGATGCCCTGTCTTGATAATTAAATTTCCATCACGGTTGATAGCAGCGAAACATTGTACCACTGGGAGGCTCTAGAGAGAGAGAGAGATAGAGAAGGGATGACAACTGTAACATGCCACAGGACTTTCTTAGCGCAGCGCTAATTCACCTCGAGTGCAACGAGACGCACTCGAGCACTGCGTGCTCTCGAGCACGCAAGTGCGTGTCGTTAGCCACGTGCTACCTCCTCTCGCGCATTCTCTCGACTCTTGCCTGACAAATGACTTTCCATTTCGAGCGATTCACGCCGCCGCCCTTCTAACGCGAATGACAGCGAGAGCCAAAGAATACGGCAAGTCAAGTCTCGACGGATTAAAGGACAAACGCAGGAAACGTTTGATTGGTTGCGAAAAGGAAGTCATATCCCAAGGGATAAGTTTAAACGAACGACGCTTGACGTATAGTCGGGAGAGGATAAAAGAGAAAATAAATAGCGAAAAAGGAGAAAATGGACGAAGTCGGCGAGAGTAAGTTGCAAGAGGATGTTCTGAGACAGATTATATAAATGAGAAAACAGATAGACTTGTTATTCGTGCGATAATAATTTAACAAGTCAAAGCAGGACTTTCGGAAATAAAATAAAAGGCGATAAGCGTCTCCGAAAATGCTTTAAATGTTTCGATAAAAAATCTTTTTTTTTTTTTATGTAAAAATTTCTTTCTCCCTCTTGAATCTGATGGTTGATATTTTTATTTTAAATATTATGCCAAAATCGAACTGCTAGAAGATTCAAATATTCTTCTCTTGATATATATTGTATATAGGACAGAATCACAAGCAAATTGCTCCTCTCTCGAACTCTATATTTTCAAGTAATTCACAACGTCCCACAAAGAGAAGAAAGAGAGTCGTTTCGAAAAAGAGGCGCGTTCTACGCCGATAGTGTATGTACACTCTAGATGTGTGTAATCTCGATAGCGCTCCTTCGGTTCCTCGCCGTTGGCCAAGCATGAAAAAGCGTAGAATAGAGAACGAGAAGAAAAGAGGAACGAGAAAGAAAACGAGGAGAAGGACGAAAAGAAGGAGAAACGCGGAGGGAGAGAAGGTGGACGCGTCGCTTGGCTCGAGACTCTTGGACGTGCCGGGAGGGAAGGAAGGAGAGTTAAGGATGGAGGAGGAGAGGTACGGATGGAGAGAACGAGAGGGAAGGCAAAGGCTAAAAAGTGTGCGTGCGTGGAGGCAAGGAGGAAACACGATACAGCCGGGCCAGATCTCGGAGGCCGTGGAAGGCGATATCCCTGATTCGTGCCGACGTGCGCGCATCATACTCGGGCCTCTGTTAGCTCGTGGCCATGAAAAAACGACGCCCCTAATCGGAATCAAATCTACTGTACGATTGTACGCGTCGAGAAGACGCGACGCGGAAAAAGCGCGGACGTTTTTACTTGCGAGTTTCTTGCGACTCGCCGCCGGCGCGGTCGATGATTTCTTTTTCGACCGAGATAGAAAGAGAAAGAGATAGACGTTTTTCAACTTCGAGCACAGCCGGGCAAGTCGGTCGCTTTTGATTATCGTCGGCCGAAACGACGATAGGAAAACCTCCGAGTCTCGTCCCGAGTTTTGACAGTTGAGCTTTGACACGTGCAGGGTGGAAAAATGTGTTGACAGCTGCTGAATATCGAGTATCTTTTTCAAAGTATTCTTAATCATCGCGACAATATTATGATAATTTAATTTTAAAACAATAACATAATTGACGTAACACATAGTTATAAATTTACATAAAGAAATGTAAATCTCTCTCTAATTTCGTAAACATCGGAATACCATGTAAGCAATCTATATATAATGGAACCGTAATATACATGCGCGAGGAGAAAGCGGGTTGTCTCGAGTCGGAATCATTTAGCTTTTAGCTTACTGGGATTACTAACAGGACTAGGTCAGATTTCAATATTCGCGAGCGCGATATTTCTCTCCGACGATTTAGTCAGAACGATAGAAGTCACGACTATATTCGAGAGAGAAAGAGAGAGAGGGAGAGAGGGAGACAGAAGAAGGAGGTGGAGGAAGAGAAACGGGACACAGCGATGTTAAAAAAAGAAATAAACAAGATAGGCGGACGCGCACGGAGAGCGGGATGCATAATACACACAGTGGTTGCGGCACAGACAGGAAGGAAGCGCAGCCAACCGCGAAGCCCGCGGGGTCTGAGAGAGGTGCATACGTAATTGCGGGGCCACGCGGGAGGCGCTGCTTTTATAAGTTGGATCTCTTCTCCTCCCCCCCCCCACCCTCTCTCTCTCTCGACGATTTAGTCAGAACGATAGAAGTCACGACTATATTCGAGAGAGAAAGAGAGAGAGAGAGAGAGGGAGACAGAAGAAGGAGGTGGAGGAAGAGAAACGGGACACAGCGATGTTAAAAAAAGAAATAAACAAGATAGGCGGACGCGCACGGAGAGCGGGATGCATAATACACACAGTGGTTGCGGCACAGACAGGAAGGAAGCGCAGCCAACCGCGAAGCCCGCGGGGTCTGAGAGAGGTGCATACGTAATTGCGGGGCCACGCGGGAGGGGCTGCTTTTATAAGTTGGATCTCTTCTCCCCCCCCCCCCCCACCCTCTCTCTCTCTCTCTCGTTCTTTCTCTCTCTCTCTCTCTCTCTTTCCATGCCCCCTCGTCTATCTTCGCGCGCGACTCTCGTACCCTCGTTGTGTCGCACGATGACGTACGGATCCGACGATTTAGTTGTGTTGTTCAGGCCAAAGTGGCACGACGAACGCGGGGCCAGTAGACGCTAGTCGTTGCACCGGTGTGTGCAAAACGTGTGCAACCGCAACGTGTACACCGACCGACCGACGCCATCTTGCGCAAATGCAGACGCCAGCCGAAGGCGGAGCCTCTCCCGAAGGGCTTCTCTCCCGTCGTGGCTCTATCACCATTTCTCTCTCTCTCTCTCTCTCTCTTCCCCCTTCTCATCGTCCTCTCTCTCTCTCTCTCTTTCTCTTTCCCAGTCTAGTTCACCGTGGCAGATGCAGCTTCACCGCGATCAATCTTCCTCCTCGTCGCCAGCGTTTCGTTCCCCTCCGTAACCTCCTCTCGCCACCGAGATAGTGCGGTTCCTCCGCTCTTCGGTAGCTCCGCGTGTCCGTCTCCTCCTCTCAATTTAGCATCCTCTTTTTAATATCGATTCCGCCAATTAATTAATCTCGTTCGATGTTCAACCTACGAAAATTTTCCGTGAAAATGTTATAAAATAGTTGACAATAGTTTTAGCTCGATCTCTCGCAGACCCGATTTTAACATTGAATTCCTCGTACAATTAGGAATTAAATTTCGCGGAATGAATTTGTGCTTACATTCTCTCAGGTTGTCTGCTTTTCTACGCTTCTACTCCAGCGTTTTACGGGATCGAGAGAGAAAGAGAATGTACGGAGGGGATACGGGGTGAAATTACATGTTATTACGCGAAAGCTGCTGGGGGCGCTCGATGTGAAATGAGACGTTATTTTCTGCGGGAATTTCGTGCGCGTACCGGGATTATATTATAAGGCGCGCTAGCGAGCTCCCGCTACAACGGTTGGGGAGAGGAGGGAGGAAATGATTCCTTAAAACCCGTGGGATACATTCCGTGCCCGATCGGTCGCACCTCGAAATCATCTATCGACAATTTTATTCGCAACAAGAATCATTAACGGTACTGGGTTAAATTTAATTAATTCCTCGAAAAAGAGATAGCAGCTTGTTACGGATTTTCATCGAAGGGTCTCTCCTTCGACGGAAAATGGAGTATGATGTAAAGTCTGCGTCGTCCTCGTCGACACACTCGCGATAATAATACTTATCGTTCATTTGCGCGCGCGGTTAACGAGGCGGACCACGTGTTTACGCGCGCATGTTTTTCAACCGAGGCGATATTTCACGCATATCGTTTCCTATTAACGACGCTAATTAGACCTGCAAGTTAAGGAGGCTCATGTTTGAAAAAAAAAAAAAAAAAAAAAAAAATTACGACCAACTCGCGTGGAGATTTCTCGACGCTCTGTGTTTCCTCATGGTTTTCTCCATATTTACGACAACAATTAACAGCGCTACGCTTGGTACTCGAGCAATGCTTCGAGGAAGTGCGATAACGCGCGTCTATCAACACAAGAATCGCCCGCGATAAAATATATGTTTCAAGAGAATCTTTCCTTTTCTTTTTCATTTGACGATTTAACGATCGCAACTCTCTTCGCGCCTGAAAAAAAAGGTTGTAATTCTTTCGCGCAAACGTAACGATAATTAGCTACTATCTCACGATAATATTAACGG